AAAAAAAAAATTAGATTAACAGAAAATACTTTTTATAAAGCTTAAATTAAGATGAATAACAAAAATCATTGATTTAAAACTGAATAACTATTTAAAGTGTTTGAAAAAAACATAACGTTCATATTTATTGAACATCACTCATTTATACTATCAAATAGATTGGAAACAAATTCATATTTTTGTGAAACTTGACTTTTATGCTTATAAAATTAAATTTTTGACAAAATGTGTTTTGAATATTATGAATATGTTAAAATATCAATAAATTAATATTGTTATACATTATTTAAGATGTTTTTAAAATGTCTTTTACAATTCTAAAAATATGTAATTAATATTATGAGCTATTTATTTGTTATTTATTTTATATGCTTGTGTTATATAACTTATATTAGTTTTCAATTAAACTAAGATTTAATTTATTTTATAGTTAACTATATTAAAACAAATAATATAATTACAAATTTTATTAAAAATATGCCCTCACCACATGACATGTCTTTCTATTACTAACACATAACATACCAATACCAACATTACAGTTTACCAGTAAATAATTTATTTTAACTTAATTTTAGAATAAATTAACCTATTATTTATCAAACATTTAATATTATGTTCTCAGGTTGATTTTTTAAAATATTAAAAATTATAAGTGAGTCATGAGTAAATTCAAGTAAATAGTAATATATTCTATATTATTATAATTAAAAAATGATCTTAACTCAATTACAAAATTAAATATTGCAAATTACCAACAAATTATCAAAGATAATTTTCTTATTTTCCTTTTGATAAATTTACTCTAATAATAAATCTAACAACATAAAAATGAATTTGCTGTATTCAAGTTTGCTACGCTGTACATTTATAAGATGGAGTCAACATAACATGCGAACATAAGCTAAGCAAAGGTAAATAATAAAACAATAAAAGAACTTTTTCATAAATTATTAGTATCCAACCAAATTCTATTTAAATATTTATAAAATACCTAATAATTAAAATTAACAATCAGATGAATGAGTTAATATTTCTTTTTAAAGAATTTTTTTTATATATATAAGAGAAGRTGAATGTAAACAAACATAATCTTCAAATAAAATTGGTGAATACTAATGCTTTGCAAATCAAAATATAATGTTAATATAAAACCATCTTCATACCCGTGCGAACTACTTTCCCATTATTCGTTTCCAGATCATTAAAAATATTGTCAAAAGGTTCCCTGTAATAATCAACAATCCATCTTTGGTCAAATTTGCCTTCATCAATTCCTTCAGTTTTAGAATTAAAAGGAGTTGAAACATCATTTTTACTTGGAATTATATTGCCTGTAATATGTAAATATAGTTATACATTAAGTATTAACATTATTAGTTTWATTGAGATAACCACAAAGATAGGTATGTTGAAACAATAAAAATTTRATAAATGAAAAAAAAATTGAGATCAATATATTACAGAATTCTGGTATCTGTAATAATATGTATGTTTGTTTAACCCTCAATCTATGTTAATTATAGTGAGTACTCACCTAACAATTTAAATATACCTTTGATAAAAAAAAGTCAGGGAGCTAAGATTTACAACCTGCTTGAATCCTTYCATCAATACATCACCAAATCATCAACACTATTCATAACAATATTCAACCTCAAGACCTGATTTAATGAAATTAGGGATAGGTGCCCCTCATGTTAAATATCTATCTTATTCATAAAATATTTGTAAACTATTTTATGTACTTAAATACAATATGATTTCTAGTTTTTGTAAACTAAATATACCTAATTAAGATATAATAGTAATTACATAATTGAACAATAGGTATTAATTATAAAATCATACTTTAATTAAAACATTAAAAATACTTTATAATTTTCACAATTATTCAACCTTTTCATAGATCAGTATACATTTTTTTAACTWTTCACTTTTGAGACTAAGGAGGAAAATAAAATAAAGTTGTTTAAAAACACAAAATTTCATAAGAACAATTTGGATTAAGTAATCAAAATGTGTTAAAAATTATAGTCTTGATTTGTGATTATACGATAAAATAAAATATTTGTTAAAATATTTTAAATACTTAGTAATAATTGAATGTATTTTTAATATATATACAAGTTACTCTCAAAAGAAACAATAAATATTTTTTAGTTAACTGTTCCTAATAATTTATGATTTTATTACAGTGCACAATTTTAATAGTTAAGTAAATATCTTAGTTGTTGATATTAATTCAAAATATAACTTGAATTAAATGAAAACATACTTTGCACTTCTACTTCATTCATGGTCATTTCCATACTGAATCCATCCATTAAATTTGTTGCACGATTAATTAATTTTTCATCTAAGGAGTTAAAAGAAGAAAAATCTTTTCCTTTTAATATTTTCTATTAAATTAAAAAAAAATTAATAAAAGAAGAAATATCATACAATTATAGAAGTAAAAAATATATTATTTRAACCTTCATGTTTTCGACTTCAGGAAAATCACCCACACTAAGATTCTTGTACTTATTTTGGATRTCARTAAACACATCTTCCAAATTATTTATTAATTCGTTTTGGCGATTAGTTTTATTTATAATCCTTGATAATAGTGGTAAACGTGATTTGAGCTCACTCATTATATATGCATGGACCTTGAACAGGGTTTAAATTTAGAATAATTAAGSTATTTAATATTAATTTCATCATATTTTGCATGCAATGAATGATACATATTATAATAATATAATGTTAACACATATTAATTAATATTAAATAACGATACTTACAATGGCTGTGTTTGCTCTCTTACCAATATGATTCAATTTGGATATGACTGAATTATGTGGGAGAGATTTCATATCTTGAAATAAATCATTTTCTTCTTCGTTAAACATACTAAAAATTCAATTTAATATTAGTTTTAACATTAAAATATAAAGATAAAAATTCATAATACACRTGATTATTAATCATTATTTCTTAATTTTTCAATTATTAACCATTAGGAATAATTTGAATACATTAAATATATGATACAACATATTTCAATTATTTCCATGAATACTTGAATATTATAAGTTTAATAAGTGTGTAAACTTTAAACAGGGTTCATTTTTAAAAAAAAGATTTATAAAACAAACATTAGATTAAAATGAAGTAAGTATTATATGATCTAAATTCCAGTAGTAAATTTTGATTGCTAAATATATAATTATAAATTGATTGATACTTTAAATTGGCTTAAATTTTAAAACAAGCAAATGCTTTTGAAAAACACTTCAATATAAAATTCAATTTTTAATTTTTATTGAATATAAATATCAGTAATCAGTATTCAGTATATAGTGGAAATAGTTATAATTTTCTAACAAAAGAAATTAAAAAATTATGAGATTCCAAAGTTCAAATGGCTAAAAATTATTAATACTAAATACCGATTTAATTTTCCCTTTCAAATGGCAGTTTTAAAGTAAATTAAATTTTTATAAGCTTACATCCGATTAACATCATTTTTATAAGGCTGATCCCAAAATGAACCAACATACACTCTAGGAACTTCAGGACAATTAATTGTTTTTCCAAGAGCCCACATGAGTGCACCATGAACTCTTAGTAATTCTCTTGCACTAAAAACAAAAAAATCATTAGTATAAAAGTATAAAAAAATATGATTAAATTATAATGAAGCTAATCTGTTTTAGAAGAAAACATAGARGATCTCTAACTTCTACATCTTACTTTAAAAAAAATATATATCTCATTATTACATTGTAATTAAAAAATTTAATTAGAATTAATTAATTGTTGAAAAATATAGTCTTAATAACTACCTAATAAATGTAATARTTGAATGTTAATTAAATTTCAAAAATATTTACTTTTTAATAAAATAAAAATATAATATAATATATAAGAATTGCAGTAACCTACATCCCAGAAAATTAAACTAGGTAATTTTGGAAATATTTCGGAAGACAAGATAACCCGAAAGTACCACAAATTGTCTTTATAAGTATGACCCTTAAATATGTGTTTACAAAAATAAATGATGTTATACTATGTTTTAAGCGTTAAACTTTAATTTTAGATAGTAGGATTACAAGAATAACAGTAATAATCAACTAAATACTATGTTAAAGGTGAAAAAAAAAATTTTAAAAATCAAAATCAGCACTTAGCAACTAGAACAAAAATATTTTATGAAAAATCATCAAACAAATTGAAACAATTTATGACAATATAACATACATTTTTATACTATGGYCTATATTACAGAATTTTTTATAGAAAAAAATGTATCACATTAATACTGCTAATACCAACAATGTCTTAAAACATCATGCATCATTTCTATATTTTAAATACTATTCTTTTAAGTGCCAAATTATTGATAGTTCAAATAAAAAAAAAAATCCTAAAATTAATTATCATGTATAAAATATTCTCTAAACTCTGAATATGCATTATTATGAAAAATAAAATCTTGGAAGTAAGTATATTACATTTAGATAAGTAAAACATCAAGAAATCCTACCCAAATGGTACCACATAGCTTCAGTAAAAATTTTAAAAACATAAAAATCCTGTTTCTAAATACTATTAAATAAAAGAATAAGTTACAATTTGTATAAGCTAATCTATACATCTGTACATAGTGCATCTCTAAAGCAAATTATGTATCCATAATGTATAATATTATTATAATTACCATATCTTACCAAAATGTTATTTCGTGTAGGTATGCATTAAAATTAAAATGTAATCATATTTAAGTACTTTTATGTTAAATATTTTAATGGAAGTTCAGAGAATGAGAAATTATTTAAATTATTGTGATTTTAAACTGAAAATATAGTTCAATTTAACCTAGTAACTTACTCAATTGTATCTGCTTTGTTTAAAATAATTCTTAATTTGCTATCATGGTCTTTTAATACATCAATGGCTGCTTTTAATTCATCTGATATATCCAATTTGTTAGCATCAAAAGTCAATACTATCATGTCTGACCGCTCAGCAAACCAATTTAATGTGTCATTAAAATTATAATCTCGTTGAGCTCTTTGTTTTTCCCCCGATAATATACCAGGTGTATCAACTAATGTAATGGATTTCAATAATGGAGCATTCACAATTCCACAGTTAAGTTTTTTTAAAAACTTATTTCCAAATCGTGACAAGTCACAAAAATGTCTAGACGGGTCAGCTACAAGAGCATTACCAGGTACAGACTGTTCAATATCACCACCCATCACCACCATAAATTTATCTGTAGTTGGTTCTGGGCCTATACGAATACCAGGATAGTCTTTTTCAATAAGATATCTATAACAAATAATTTAATTTTATAAAAACTATATTTTTTTTAATGTCTAACCATATACTTCAAAAACCTAATATTTACTTTATCATTGATGTTTTGCCAGTAGAATATTGACCAACAAATAGTACCATGGGTTTTGCATCAAAATCTTGATCTGTTAATGGTGGCAAATGAAACTCATGAAACAAATATTTATTTTCGAGTGGTAAGAGTTTTGATTTGTAAATGTGTTTTAAACGACTAAGAAATGTATCATCATCGTTCTGTATAAAATTCCTAAAACAAATTTAATAAATTTAATGTTAAAACTATAAAATAATCATTAGGTATTAATCTATTTCTTTACTTGTAAAATGACCGGTGGATTATCTTGGTAAAATTTGGATTTTTTCTTAAAGCTTTATAGCAACGGACATAACAATTAGGAAGTACACTCATTTTTATTAAAATTAAAGATTGTCTAGTAAGATTAAAAATATTCCAAATTG